GGAGAGCAGATGGGATAGGTTATTAAAGGAAGCACACCCCCAAAAATTCAGGGGACATGTCTGCAGCAGAAACAATACTATTGATGTAACATGCACCACAAAAACAAATGGAATTTTTAAAAATCGGTCTTTAGGAGATTTTCCAGCCATTATTAGGGTTAAGTGAGGGAACTGTGTCCTTAAAAGAAGAGATAATCTGCTGTATTCATTTGTTGTAATAACCAGACTACCACCAGGTTCTAAACTTGTTGATCCAGGCATGCATATATTTGAATGTGGAATTCTGTATGGAGGGTTCCTTCAAGGGGAAAATAAACCAAATTTGCTTGACATAGTCTTTGGATTTCTGACTCTATTTGAGTCTTTTTAGGAAATCAAGAACTTAGAAATCATCTAATTCAAGTATTTATGTGATAGAAGAAAATGGAACCTAAGGAGGATCACTTATTCATTCATGCATTCATTTGATAATTTTTATTTTTATTTTTTTGGAGTGGGAATCTCACTGTCACCCAGGCTGGAGGGCAGTGGCATGCTTCCCGGCCACCACAGTCTTGACCTGCTGGGCTCAGGCGATCCTTCCGCCTCAGCCTTCCTAGTAGCTGAAACTACAGGCACACGCCACCATGCCCAGCTAATTTTTTGATTTATTGTAGAGACGGGCTCTCACCAAGTTGCCCAGGCTGATCTTGAACCCGTGGGCTCAAGCAATCCTCTCACCTCGGTCTCCCAAAGTGCTGGGATTATCGGCATGAGCCACTGCGCATGGCTGAAAAATATTTTTTATTTTATTTTTTATTTGAGTCAGAATCTCACTCTGTCACCCAAGCAGGAGTGCAGTGGCATGCTCATGGCCACTGCAGCCTCGACCTGCTGGGCTCAGGTGATCCTTTTGCCTCAGCCCTCCAAGTAACTGGAACTACAGGTGTGTGCCACCACATCCAGCTAATTCTTTGATTTGTTGTAGAGACGAAGTTTTGCCAAGTTGCCCAGGCTGGTCTCGAACCCTGGGCTCAGGCAATCCTCCTGCTTCTGCCTCCCAAAGTGCTGCGATTACAGGCGTGAGCCACTGTGCCCAACTTGAAAAATGTTTTCTAACACTCATTCTATGCAGACGTTGACCTCAGTCTTGGACTCCCAGCCAAGACTGAGCAATAAATTTTTGTTGTTTATAAATTACCAAGTCTAAGGTATTTTGTTATAGTAGCCCAAACAGACTAAGACACTGGGCATATGAACTGTTAATCAAGGTCAATAAGAGATTAGGGAAAGGTGCTGGAAGCTTTTGGGTTTTCCTTCCTAATAAATACAAGTAGATGGGAGGAAATGCACCTTTTCTTCCTAGCTTTGAATGTTTTCATTTAAGGATGGCATACTTGTGGCTATGTAAGCTATTTTGCCACCATGAGGATAAAGCTGAGAATCAAAGTCAATCCACATTCCTAAGTTATGGAGCTGCTGAATTCTGGAATGCTTAACTCCAGACTTCTTGTTTTGTGAGATTATAGACTCCTCTTTGTGTAAGTTATCTTTAGTTGGATAGGCAGTTCCTTGCAGCCTAAAGCATCCTAACTGATATATATGACTTATAAATTTTGTTGCCAGTAATACCAGTGCATTTCCTGAAAACAATCTAGTTTGAATTTCAAAGATCAGACTATAATTATAAAGAAAACATAATTCACTGATTTGTAGCATGAATAAAGAACCAGGTCTCAAAACTGTTGGGGGGCAGAAAAGGAGTTGATTGATTTTCAATATTTGTTGATATTTTAACATCCTCATAGTCATCTTCAGGATCAATATATAGCTCAAGATGGAAACTATTTTCTTATTTCTAAATTTATTTATCAATGAGTAAGTATCTGGTGGCTGACTTGGGTTCTCCTACGGGGCTAGAATACACAAAAAGATCCCATGAAATCTTGATATATTAAATTCTATCATCCAAACAGGTAACAATTTCCTGGGTAGAAAACTTGACTTTATTACATGTGCCCACCATAAAATCTCAATCAAATTACACATGCCCAGATAAAAACTGTTTAGGGTTTTGGTGTGTTTTGGTCAAACACAAGGGAAGTAAGTGGGCTGCTGTCCTGGTAAACAAATGTCCTAGTGGGGTCACCAAGGCCCAAATCAGCTTTGTAGGCTCCAAGATCGCATCAATTCTTTCTAGTTGATCTACTAGAGCCCTAGGACTTGACTCATTCTGTTAATGTCCAACATTCAATAAATATTTATTAAGTGCATACTATGTGCCAGGTTTTGTGCTGGACATAGCAGTGAGACAGGCAATTTCCACCCAGAAGTAATCCCCGGATTAGAAAAGAAGACACAGAGTAACCAAGCAATTATAATAGTTGTAATTACGTAGTATACAATCATTATAATGCAAAGGGAGAAATGTTTCCATAGGGCTAAATACAGGGAGCCATGAGAGCCAAGAGGAGTTCATTCATTCATTCAACTCAGTTGATCATTCAACATATTTATTAAGCATCTACAGTGGGCCTGGGCACTGTGCTGGGAACAGGGAAAACAGTGGAGGAAAGACAGAATCCCTGCCCTCATGTTGCTTTTGGTCTAGTTGGGGAGAAAGACAAACAGATAATTACAGCATGCTAGTATCATGAAAGGAGAGCTCCCAAGAGGGTGCCAACCCAAGCCTGGAGTGGTGAGGAAAGGATAGCCAAGGTGAGATGGGAAGGATCCAAAAGTGGGGAAGAGTGTTCATACAGAGGGAACAGCACTGTGCACAGGGGCAAGAGAGATCATGGCTAAGATCATTCCAAATGGCCAGAACCAAAAATTGGGGCAGAAGGGAGATCGCAAGGGTGTGGGGGGTAAGAGGTTGGCAAACGGTTACTAGTGACAGGATCCTGACAAATCTTGTAAGCCATGTTCAAGAATTTGGGCATTTTCTGTGGTTAATGGGCAAAGAGGAGATTTAAGTAAGGGAATGAAATGGTCAATGAAATGGTTTCCAAAGTGGTGATTTTAGAAAATCACCAGCTTCTGTGTAGAAAGTAGACTGTAGGGTGAGATGCCGGAGGGAGGAGACCAGTTAGGAAGCTGTTGATATCTCTTAGCAAGTGGGTTAGGGTAGTGGCCTGACCACAGAACAGCAATGGAGAAATGTGGACTGATGGGAGAGCTATGTGGGAGGCACAATCAGCAGAAGGTGGGGAACACTGGAAACAGATGATGGGGAGAAGAATGTCAGTTTCTGACTTCACCAACTAAGAAGATAGTAGAGCATAAGAAGTTTGGGACTGGGGACAGATAATCAGGTCCTTCTGATGTGTGTTGATCTTAAGGGGCTTGTGGGACAGTCAGATGGCGATGACCTGGAAGCAATCCAGGCTGGAACTAGGGGGAGAGAGCTCAGCTAGAGTCTGTAATTTGGAAGTCATCAGAATAGAGATGGCTACCACTGAGCCCATGGGAATTGGTGAAATCACTCGTGAGAGGCAAGCAGGGGTGGGGACAGAACTTAGGAAAACCAGCATCAAAGAGATGCTTCAGAGAGAGAGAGTGGCTCAACAAATGAGACTGAGACAGGCCAGTCAGACAGGAGGAGAGCCAGGAGAGGGTGGTAACTCAGAAAGCAAGGAAGAGTTAACAGTTGTCTGATATTTGTTTTTAATTTTTTCATAGGTGTGGAGGGTTTACAGAAAATGTATGAGAAGAAAGTTCGTGTTTGAAACACTTCTATTCTTTGGCTAAGTTTTGTTCTGTAAGTCAAGAAAAGAATCTTCTCTTTGGTTTGTAGAATACCAGAGTTCCATAAGGCCAGTGGTTCTCTAAAATAAGGAGGTATTAGCAGCAAGCTGGAAGTCTCCTTGGAGTCTAGAAAGAGGGAACGAGGGAAGAAGCCCTTGTCCCCCTAGCTCCAGCATTGGTTGAGGAGAAAAGCTAGAATATAGCAGGAGCACACCTTCCCATCTCTCGAGGAGGAGTCCAAGGGTCACTCCCAGGTCTTTCCAGGTTCGTCGTGTTCTTTCTACAAGCCTGCTCATTAGTCATATTTCCCAAGGATTGCTTAGAAATCAGCGTCTTGTGAGTGGTTAGAAGTCCTAGGACTCTAGTAGATAAACTAGAAAGAATTGATGAGATCTTGAAAACTACATAGCTGACTTGGGCCTTGGTGACCCACGAGGACATTTGTTTACCAGGAGAGCAGCCCACTTACTTCCCTTGTGTCTCATTGGCTGTCACACATCTGCCTCCTAGACACTCAGGGACAGAGATCTGGAAGGAAGGGACTTGAGGTTGTTTTCATGGAACTCTATATAAAGGAGGAAGCAATAATAAAAATTATGGACAGGGGATGTGAAGCCCCCCCAAACTCTCATCTTGAATATATCATCATTAAAGGTCCCCTTCTTTCCTGTTCCCCAAGGTTTTTCCATGGGGGAATCTACTTTTCCTGTAGCACCTCCAACACACCTATTGCAAAATGACACCTGTAGATAACTTTTGTCCTCTGTTGATTGTTACAATGCCACCTGAAAGCTCAGGGAAAAAAATCTGTGCGAGAACTTCAACTCTATGGTCAGTTTGGCTTACATCATATGAAGGCACTGAGGTTTGTAGGGGCATGAAGTTAGGGAAGGGTCACAAGAACGAAAAGTACTGTCTGCCCTTGCAAAATGGCAAGATGTGGTGTGAAGATTTGGGCACAAGTGCAGTCTCTATAACTACAACTCGCAGTCTCACAGTGCAGGAGGTGAGTGGGATGGAAGGGGAAAGACCAACATGCTGGCCCAGGCCCTTAGGGGAAAGGGAGCCTGGGAGGCTCTGTACAATCAAACGCTAAGATTTAAGATCACTTAGAACCATGCAAACCAAGAGAACAAAAGAGGAAACAGTGCCGAGAAATGAGTAGTTTCTCATTGGTGGGAGTGATGCATCCCAGGGGTCCTCCCTGGAAACTTCCTCAACAGAAGCACAAGGGCTGACCTCTCTTAATCCTCAGTGCTGAGTGTCCACATCTTTCCTCTGGTTGCAGTCATTTGATTGCTCAACCACCTTCATCTAAGGTTCAGAAAGTGCTTTATCTTGTAGAGCTTCATAAAATACCACTGTCTTTCAGGATCTGGACACCTATTGAAGTTCAATTATTCTTGATTGTTTTTTAAAAAAGCCATGTGAACCCTTTTCAGCTTGCCAAAAAAGAAGAAATGCTTGTTTCAAAATGATGGTTTTCAGTATTTGCAGGGATTTCAACATCGTCATAGTCATCTTCAGGCTCAATGTAGCTTGGGATGGAAATGGTCTTCTTATTTTTAACTTTGCTTACCAATGAGTATGTAACTGGTGGCTGACTTGGGGTTTCCTGTGGGGCTAGAATACACAAAAAAGTCCTTAGATACAAAGCTATTGTGTGTTTATATATTTGTGATCAAGTGGTTCAGCATGATTTTCATGTATTTTTGTGATCTTTCCACTTCCTAGTAGGCCAGATCCCCATTTTACAGAGGAAATTTAGACGCAGACATGACGCAGTCTCAGGATCACCCAAGTGAGTAAATAGCAAAAATTAGTCAGACATCTTGACCCCCATGTCTCTTCTGCCTAAGCCTACACTACATGGGAAACAGGAAGCAAGAGCTTAGAAAGGGAACAGGCCAGAGCCAATAGACAGAGAAATACTGTTATGTCTATATATCCTAATACTCACAAGGAAGTGATACAAAACATATTTCCTTTTCGGCACATCCCTCCCAATGACTTACACTGTTTTCCAGGACTCTCCATAATTGCTTATATACAAATCTCTCTGCTAAGAAGGAAGGAAGGGAAGAGTGTGTTTCCTTTTTTCTTTTTTCTTTTTGAGTTGGAGTCTCACTCCACTGCCCAGGCTGGAGTGCAGTGGCACACTCACAGTCACTCCAGTGTTGACCTGCTGGGTTCCAGCGATCCTTCCGCCCCAGCCTTCCAAGTAGCAGGAACTATAGGTGCGTGCTACCGTGCCCGGCTAATTTTTGATTTATTGTAGAGACGAGGTTTCACCAAGTTGCCGGGGCTGGTCTCAAACCCTCAGGCTCAGGTAATCCACTCGCCTGGGCCTCCCAAAGTGCTGGGATTACAGGCTGAGCCACCGAGCCCGGCCAAGAGGACGTTTTCAAAACATTTAATTAGTGCAGAAGGGATCCATTAGTGTGAAGGGGTCAGTGCCACCTTTGGTGGGGACTGGAACTGCCTCTACCACAATCTCATCTTTTCCCAAGAGAACCCGAAATACTACTGCCATTTTTATCTCCTGCAGAACTCCACAGTTAGACAAATCTGAGTTCTTGTTCAGGTTCTAGAAGTCACTAGCTCTGTGACTTGGGTAAATTACTTAACTTCTCTGTGCCTCGTGTCCTGCCTATCAAAGGAATCAAAATGTATCTGCCTCATAGAGTTGTTGTGAGGATTAAATGAGAATACCTGTAAAGTGCCTAGCATGGGGCCTGAAACACAGTGCATGCTTAGTAAATGTTAGCTAATATTATTTACCCATTCAATCAAAATGGATACATTTCTTAAGTAACCATAAAGCCCCAGGTGCTGTTCTAGATGGTAAGTAAAGAAAGGTTCCTGCTTTCCTGGAGCTTCTATTCCAGTGGAGGAGATAGATAATAAATAAACTGAATAAGACAATTTTAGATAAGTGCTAGTTTCATAAAGAAAATTAGCAGGATTATTTTAGATAGGGTGGTCAGGAAGGGCCTCCTTGAGGAAGCGACTTTTGAGCTGACATCTGAAGGAAGAGGCAAAACCAGCTGTGCAAAGAGCTTAAGAAAGGACATTACAGTCAAAGAAACTGGGCATTTTTTTCTGATGGGAAGTGAGAGACCCAGTCACATTCCCAAGTTATTCTTATTCTGTCACCCAGGCTGGAATATAGTAGCATGATCACAGCTCACTGTAACCTCCAACTCCTGGGCTCAAAGGACCCTACTGCCTCAGTCTCCCAAGTAGCTGGGACTATAGGCACATGCTACGATGCCCAGCTAATTTTAAACTTTTTTTTTTTTGTAGAGACAGATCTTGCTATTTTAGCCAGTTTGTACAAGCTGGGATTTTAACATGAATTTACATCAGGATATTGGGAACATTGATACTCATTCTTTTAAGCTTATTCATCTCTTTTAAATAGATGCTATATCTACAAATCCTGGTATTACAGACTAAATGTTTTTATGCCCTCAAAATTCATGTGTTGATGACCTAACCCCCCAATGTGGCTATATTTGGTCATAAGGGTGGGGTGAGGCTCTGATCCAATAAGATTAGTGTCCTTATAAAAAGAGACACCAGGGAGCTGGCTCTTCTGCTCCCATCCCCAGCTTGAACTTATCAAGGAAAGGCCATGTAAAGACATAGCAAGAAGGCAGCTGTCTGCAAGCCAGGAAGAGAGCCCTCACCAGAAACCAAATCAGCCAGCACCCTGATCTCAGGCTTCCAACCTGACAAAATAAATGTCTATTGTTTAATACCACCCAGTCTATGGTATTTTTAAGTATGGCAACCTGAGATAACTAAGACACCTAGATAAATTTTTATCCTACCCTAAATGAAACTTTTCGTTACCAGCAAAATGCACTTACTGGACTCCTCTGGAGAAAGAAAATCCCTGGGTGGCAGAGGGGGTAATTGAACTGGTGATTCATTAAGAACATTCCTAGAGAGAGAGAAAGAGAAGGAGTCAGTGTTTGGGTTGGACTGTGCCTACTGTCAGCAGATCTAAAAGAAAATGTCAAGGAAAGTGAACGTGTTGAACATTCAGATCTCGGTCCCCCCACATTGGAAGCATTTCCTTTCCTTTCTAGTTCCTGCATCCCATTTGTAACTGGCACCCTACATAAACTGTTTCCTCTAGCTCAAGGAATGGCTGAAATTGAGGGAAGGAAGTTGAAGTGCTATAACTCAGAGCATGGAGCACACCTTCCTGGTTCATCTGAACTGGATTAAGAGAGGGAGGTAGGCACCAGATGTTTTCTATTTGCAAAACAGACGGACTCTCAAAGCTGAATGTACGAATGTACACACATCCCGAGACAGTGAGATGAAGCAGAGACAACCTGCTGGGCTCTCCACAGTAGTTCCTTCAAGGGAAATTCCAAGCACATAACTAACTCTGAGAAGTAAATGAGCAACGTGATAAACAAGAAGATAATAGTAGCTTAAAACAACAGTCAAGGAAGTTAGAGTCATGAGATGTCTGGTCCCCTATAGAAACTAAAGATAATATCTTAACATATGTCCCTGAGTTGTTTTCTAGAAACCTGGGCCCCCATCAACTGAAAAATGCCATCCACTGGTATGTTGGTATGTAGACTTCAGATAAGGGGGAACTGAAAACTGAACTCTGATCACTGTTCTTTGTTCTAAAATTCTTCCTGAGGGGCCTGGAGGAAGTCAAGCTCACTGGCCAGAGCTAACATTCTTTTCTACTGACACTAAATTTTAGGCAATGCTTTGCATCCTTAATCAATGCAAATCAGAAAATCTTTGAATCCACCTATGACCACTTCAAGATGTTCTGCCTTTTTTAAAATTAAATTTTATTTTATTACAACGTGGGGTACAAGTAAGGATTAACTATACAAGTAGGCTTCATGCAGGTGAAGTTGGGGCCTTCATCTGGCCCTCACCCCGCCCCCCCCGGTATAGGACCAGTTACCTTTCATGTTGTAAGATGTCCTGCTTTTTTAGGTCAAACCAACATACAGCCTCCATGCATTTATTTACAGTTTTGTCTGTAACTTCTACTTTCCTGGAATTTCCCCTACCTTTAAAAGCCCTTGCTTGCAAGCCACCTGAGAGGTTGGGTCCTAAGCATAAGCTGCCAAATTCTCCTTGCTTGGTGCCTTGTGAATAAACATCTTCCTTTCTCCCACTGTGAAACTTAGTGTGATTGTTTGACCTTACTGTGTGAGTGGACCCCAGTTTAATAACAACAACAGTCCTGATACTGGGTCTAATGCTCTACCGAAAGGCTTGTGTATGTTCACCAAAACACGTAATTGTATGTTCAAAGCAGCACTATTCGTGAGAAACAGAGACACGTAAAATTAACCATCACATGGCCCAAATGCCCATCAGCAGAAGAATGGATAAATGAATTGTGGTATACTCCCACAGTGAAATACTGTATAGCAGTGAGAATGAACAATCTACAGCTGTGTATAGTTAATCTTATAAAAATAGTATTGAGTAAAAGAAGCCAAACAGCAAATCATATATACTATAAGATCCCATTTATAAAAAGCACCCCCTGAGACAGTGAGACGGAGCAGGGACACCCTGCTGGACTCCCCACAGTAGTTCCTTTAAGGGAAATTCCAGGCACCTAAAAAAGCATATATATATATATATATATATATATATATATAGAGAGAGAGAGAGAGAGAGAGAGAGAGAGAGAGCACCTAAAAAAAGTACCTCTATAAAGCATAAAAGCCGAAAAAAAACCCTAACAAACTGTTACAGAGAGTGGTTATCTTTGGGGTGTAATGGCTGAAAGATGGTCTAAGGTAAGCATGTAAGGTGTTGGTAATATCTTCTCGTTTCTTGATCTGGGTACCAAATACCCGGGTCTGTCAGTTTATAAATTCATTGAGTTGTATACTTACTTTGGGCACTTTTCGGTATTTATATTATACTTTGGTAAGAAGTTTTAACAAAAAATTCCAGGAAATCTTCCTTACCTGTACCTTCATTCTCCTAGGTACACTGATTTGACTCTGATACATGATAAAGTCTAGGAATGCATAAACATTTTTACATTGTTGGAGTGAGTGCAGAAGGTGACAGATGGCAAGAGCTGAGCTGCATCAAGTGGCTCTCTCTGCTACTTCATGGCTCTTCCTGGGAGAGAAAGATAATTTATCTGACTGCTAAATTTGGGGAAAATCTGGTTCCTCTCACTTTCTTCTCCAGAGCTGGCCTGACTGCAGAAGTCACAAACCCTGCTTGGGTCTTTGCCATTCAGAGAAAAGGGCCTTTCCTTTGCGGAGACCTGAGGTTTTCCAGAACTTCCTGTGAGCTGGGCAGGAAAATTTGCCTGGTTCAGAATTGAGAAACTCACTTGCTCATGGAGAAGAGCATTCTCAGTCATTCTCCCTTCCTTCCTGTCTTCCTTTCTTCCTTCTTCCCTTCCTTCCTTCCTTTCCTTCAACAGGGTCTCACTCTGTTGCTCAGGCTGGAGTGCAATGGCACAATCATAGCTCACTGCAGCCTCAAACTCTAGGGCTTAGGTGCCTTAGTCTCCTAAGTAGTTGGGACTACAGACATATGGCACTGTGCCCAGCTCTTATTTGCTAGGCCCCTGATGCCACACAAAAGCCATATAAGAAAATCAAACATTTTGTTTTAGATAGTGTACATATTCCAAAGAAAAGACTGGTTCTTGACTAGCTCCTGAGAGATAATCTCTAAGCTCTTGGAATATTCTGATTTTTTTTATTTTTTTTGAGTTGGAGTCTCACTCCGTCATTCAGGCTGGAGTGTAATGGCACACTCATGGCCACCCCAGTGTTGACCTGTTGGGCACCGGTGATCCTTCTGCCTCAGCTTTCCAAGTAGCCAGAACTACAGGTGTGCACTACCACACCCGGCTAATTTTTTATTTATTGTAGAGATGAGGTCTTACCAAGTTGTCCGGGGTGGTCTCGAACTCATGGGCTCAGGCAATCCACTTGCCTCAGCCTCCCAAATTGCTGGGATTATAGACTGAGCCACCAAGCCCAGCCAAATATTTCTATTCATAAGAGTGTCTTGATATACTTGGGGCCTTGGGTCATTCCAGATAGTGTATGCTAATAATGTGATTTGTGACGAATTCCTGTTTTTGTTTGTCTTGATCATGCTGTATCAATTTGACCCTTGGAGAGGCTGGAGACTGAATAGCTAAGGTCAGTCAGGTGGGTGCTAGAGAGAGAGAAATGCCATGCCATGCCAACCTCAGTAAAATGAAAACCAAGGCTCAGGTGAGCTTCTCTGGTTGGTAATGCTTCACATCTGTTGTCACACATTGTTGCTGGAAGGATTAAGGTTATCTGGGAGACTTCACTGGGAGAGAACAACTGGAAGTTTGTGCTTGGTTTCTCCTACAGTCCAACCTATGCACCCTTTTTTCTTTGTTGATTTTGATCTGTGTTCATTCACTGTGATAAACTGTAACCATGAGTATGATAGATTTTTCTGGGTCTTGTGAGTCCTTCTAGTGAGTCCTCCAGCCTAAGGGTGGTCTTTGGGAACCCCAACAGCTATTAATCACAAAGTCCCAAATATATCACTAAATACAAAAGTAAACTGGATGGCAGTTTTGTTCTGCACAGCAGCTTTCAGAGGGTTATTCTTGGAAGCCATCCAAGTATAGACTGGGTGGTGGACCCACAACAGAGAGCCCAACCTGTGGTGTTTGTCAAAATTGATGAGATGAGGGAAGATATGGGGAGCAGAGAGTTCCAGATGGTGCCCTGCACCTGTGATGCCCTGAGGCCTCTGCCTATATGAGGTGGACCGTTGGCAGGCATGACATGTTGTCAGCAACGCAGGAAAGGTGGGCATCTCAGTCACACTAGTGTAGTAGTGGAGGGGCAAGAGTGAAAGTAAACAGGTGGTTCTCAAAGGTAAAAAGCAGATGGATTTCCCCTCACTTACTCATACATCTCTTCTTCATCTGTTTGGTTTTGTTTCAAAGGCTTGGTAATTTCCCATCTCTTGCCTAAGGGGAGAAAACATATTCGTTTAGGAAGAATTAGCAAAAGGTATAATTTTGGAGTTTAGAATTCTTCAGATACCAGGCGAGTCCAAGACATTTGGAAGGACTGCTCAGAGTAAACAGACTTAGGGACACAGAGATGGACTTTGAACCTAGGCCATCTGTCCACAGAACCTGTGAACTAATCCAGGGAGGATAGCAATCATGTGGGCTGTGTTTATCTCCTCATTGCCTGGTACTGTGACTGGCACTTAGTTGGCACTCAGAAATTTTGTTTGAATGATTCATCAAAACTGTGGATGGAAGAAAATGAGATAAAGAATGGGAAAAACAGTTTATAAATTGTGAATAACATGTAAGTTATTATTAATTATAGCTTGCTTATTAATAAGAGTGTTCAAGGTAAAAAGAGAGCAAGTTTTTGTTTTTGTTGTGTTATACTTTTGTCCATATCTGAGAATGAAAAGTTTAAGAAGGTAAACAGAGGACTGTAGGGTCCCAGAAAATAATTTTTGTATTAAAAAAAATTAACTATGGTTAAGGGATGGAAGGGAAAGAGCCTTGAACTGGGAGCCCAGCAGACCTGAGTTCTGTTCCCAACTTTTTTTTTTTTTTTTGAGGGATTGTTTCACTCTGTCATCCAGGCTGGATGGAGTACAGAAACATGATCATGGCTCATCACAGCCTCAAACTTCTGGGCTCAAGAGATCCTACTGCCTCAGTCTCCCAAGTAGTTGGGACTACAGGTGTACACCACCACGCCTGGCTAATTTTTCTTTCTTTCTTTTTTTTTTTTAAGGGATAGGGTCTCACTTTGTTGCCCAGGCTGGCTTTGAACTTCTGGCCTCAAGCAATCCTCCTGTCTTGGTCTCCCAAAGTGCTGGGATTACAGGTGTTGTCACCAATTTTCATGGCACTTCAATAAAGGTGTGTGCTCTCTCTCTCTCAAACTTAATTTTCTTATCTCTAAAACAAGATTGAGAAGAATGACAAAAATAGTTCTTGCGTAGTGCTGACCTTTCAGCACTGGGCTGAGCAGGATTCTGAGGCCATGTCCAAATGCAACAGGAGGATAGTGCCTTGATCACTGAGGGATATCTGCCCAGAGTGTCCCAGGGGAGGGTATCTGTGTCTTTCATTGTATTTGCCATTCTCCTGGCTTAGGCCATTATTTAAAATGATGGAATGTCAAGACAACACACCATTGAACAAATAATTTAATGTTTCTGGAAATGAACAGCAAAGTAGAAAACCCATTTGTAGATCATCTAAAGGTAGTGTTAATACCCAAGTAGTCACTTATTTCTCTCAGAATACTAAGAGGTTTCTGGCCTAGGTGGGGATAACACCAGAAAATTCAGAGTATAATATTGGAGAAGACAATCACGGGGTCAAACATGCTGGTCATGGGTTGAGTCCATGCTTCACTTCTCATGATAGTTCTTTGACATTCCATAGACTTGTGTTCCTTTTCAAGCCCCAGAAATGATGCTGTGATCAGCAGTCACATAGGAAAGAGAAAGCGTTTGAGCATTGTGCCTTGAAACAGATTCTGCTTTCATCCAAACCCTTAAGGCTGGAAGGGTTCCTGGAGATTAGTTAACCCCCCTCCCTTCATTATGCAGATGGGGAGACAAGTCCAGGGACATACATTCATGGCAGGGTTAGGACTCAAAGCCAGGGTGTATGATGCTTAATCCAAAGTTCAGCCCATACAGGCCCAGAATGAATCCCCCTGACCTAAAGGAGCTCTCTGCCCTGATAACCACTCCACCTCTCCTTTCACCTGCCCAGGTGAGATAGCATTACCTTGTCTAAGCTGCCGTCTACAGATACAGTACAGGATGAGGCCCAGGCCCACTGAGACAACAATGATGGTCACAGCTAGGATGATCCAGAAATTGTTCTTCCACCAACTCATTGCAGTGGAATCCTGAGAAGAGTGGAGACAGAAGAATGAGGCATGAAGGAAAAACACCTTGCAGGGGTGGTGGTGGGTATTATCTATCATGTTGTGTAGAGAAGCAGACATCAGCTTAGGAACCAGGCAGTCACTTAAACACTCCCAATAAGCAGCTGGGGGAACTGCAGGCAAGTCACTTAACCTTCTCTGAGCCTCAGTGTCCCCATCTGTAATAGGGGAATGACACCATCTACTATTTTACAGGGGTTTGTGCGGATTAGAGATGAGATATGTACCTAGTAGGTACTCTAGAAATGGTAGACATAATCACCACTCTTTCTTACATTGCTGAACATGCAGCAGGAGGGAGAAGGTGCCATTTAAAACGATAATTGACTGCAGTTGTTTTTCTATCATGAGGGCAAGACAGACTTAATTTATAACAGGGTAGAGATAATTTTGAGAGGTTTTTTGAGGTGGGGTTTAGAAAAATGCCTTCATGGGTCACTTTAAGTGAGGGATGTTTAGAGGATGAAGCTGAAGATGCAGAGCAGGCTGAGTGACTCTGCATGAGAGAAATAACAGGAACTTGGGAGCTGAAGGAGGAGGCTCTTAGGAGAGATTAGCGGCAGGTGGAGAGGTCAAGAAGCGAGTCCAGAGTCAGAGCATGGTCAGAAAGTTCATATAGTAGCAAATGCCCAGTACATTTACAGGATAGGCAAGTCTAAAATTCAGTCTTAAATTACTGCTTATATTATGCTGTGCTGTAACCTTCCATTACCATCGAATCTTCAATAAAACTGCATAACATTAAAGCTTGCATGAGCACAGCCTGGGGGGAAATGACATGTTGCAGTGGTTTATCAAGCCAGGGGTGACATGTGGGCAAGTAGTAAGAACAGCAGCAGCCGGGCTCAGTGGCTCAGTCTGTAATCCCTCGCTTTGGGAGGCTGAGGTGAGTGGATTGCCTGAGCCCATGGGTTTGAGACCCGCAGGGCAAGTTGACAAGACCTCATCTCTACAATAAATCAAAAATTAGCTGGGCGTGGTAGCGTGCGCCTGTAGTTCCAGCTACTTGGAAGGCTGAGGCAGAAGGATCGCTGGAGCCTAGCAGGTCGAGGCTGTCCCACTGCACTCTAGTCTGGGAGCCAGAGTGAGACTCCAACTCAAAAAAAAAAAAAAAAAAAAAAAAGAACAGCAGCTGCCAGGCTCTGAGTGACAGTGGGGAGCTGGCTGCAGGATGGCTTAATAGGAGGGGCTCCCAGGAATTCAGGAAGATCTTAGGGAGAGGTTGGGCTCCCTTCATCTGTGGAATGGGCACTTGGCCATTTCATTTGGATATTAATGTGGAAGTAATTCTTGAGGGATCTTTAGGAGATATTCTGGAATCCTGGTTACATGAGAATATAAATCAATTTCCGGTTCACCATTTAGTCAATGGAAACACCATACTTGTCCACTCAGTGTCATTTCAGATTGATGCTTTTGAATAATATTCATGATCTAAAAAGGCGCCTAGGCAGGCAGTAGAATTAGGATGCTGCTAAAGCCATCATTACTACAAAGACCTTCTAACTTTGCCGCAAATTTTAAAATGTGTTTGTATTACTGGCATAGCAAATTCATGGAATAATTAACAGCTTCATTATTATACTATGATTCAGATTTTTGGTTTCAAACTTCATTTCTTTACTGAAGTTTTAGCTTGATCAAATATAATGTTCTTGGGCTATTGATAAAAGCATATGTGACAAAACCAATAATGTATAATTAGTTCTGTTCTTTTTTTCAATGAAAACGTAAAGCATTTCTATTCTGAAACAAATCTGGAAGGATTTTTCCTTAAAATGTAAAGAAAGGGATATGAAATAAATTGTTCATTTCACTGTTTCATAAGAACCATTACTCATAAACTTTCAAATGCCTTGTTTCCCCTTCCATGCAGTAACCCCATTTAAAGTTGCTGTCTTTGATTTTTAATATTTTTTTTTTACTCTAGATGGAACCTCTTTATTTATTTATTTATTCATTTTTATTATAGAGGTGTGGGGTACAAGTGAGGACTAAACTAGTGCTGTTCTATACATCATTCTGTAGCTTACTTTTTTGCTTAACTGGATGCTTTTGTGATGTTCTGGAGTTTTACTCACTCAGGATAACTCACACTTTAGGCACTCACACGACAGAGGTTTCGTTGCAGATCTTGTTTTCAGGATGCACAAAAGAGAGCAAAAAGGAAGAAGAATCATAGAGAAAAGGAAAGAAAAGGAGATTGGAAATTGGCTCTCAATAGATACCTGTGAAATTGGGTTTTGCAGGGACCAATAAGGTTAAAAGAACACTGGACTTAAGAAGGGCCACATGTCAGAAGGCAGCCTCAGCAAATACAAGTCAAAAAAAATATTCAGCAAACATAAATTGGAATCTCACCCTTTAGCCCAGATGGAAAGAAAGATAGATTGAAGACAGGGACGTAGATAGACAGAATTTCCTTCCTTCACTTTCTCAATTCTTTTTCTTTTTATTCAAATTCCTGGTTCTTTGTCTTTCCTCTCATATTTTCTTCCTCTTTGTCTTTTTGTTTTACTCTTGAAGAACTTTTCCAAAAGGCAATTTAAACATACTCTTTAGAGCTATGGAAGTAAATACAAGGACACGAGTGTTCAAAGCCGTTGTATCTGAGAAGCATGATAACATGGAAGGACATGATAGGACAGGAGGCCAGGGGCTGTTGCTTTTCCCTCTAAACCTTTGCATTCCTTTGCACAGTTTTTGAACTGTGTGCATTTACTTGGATAAAATTGAAAAGAGTCAATCAACCATGCAGTCTAGCTTCCAAGAAAAACTATTGCCTAGGTTTCAAGGTCAAAGAAATTTCATTCTCACCAGTTTCCTGGAAAAGAAAAAGGAATTAGAATGATGCTGTTAGAAAATGAAACTGAGTCATTTTCAGAACTACTCAGAATAAGTATTTTTTTCCCAGTTTTGTTCTTACTAATGAAATGGGTTTGATTTGCCATCAGATGTTTTGAGCAAGTTCAGTGAATCAAGCAATCTTTCACATGCTTTCCCATCTCTCAGTTCATTTAATACTTGATCACCATGCTGTTCCCTAGATGCGGAGCTGAGACTGAGGTAAAGTGACCTGTCGAGGTCACTCAGGAAGGAAGGAGGGCTGGAAGGCTTTCTCTTTTTGTCACAGGTCCTTCCTCTGTTGATGTTGGTAATGATGCCCCCAGTCATCAAGGAAACACCAAATGGGGTTTAGGATATTTTGCTTTAGAATATTTAGGATATTTTGCGGTAGTATACAAGGCCACAGGAAATCCCCAGAATGAATGATCAGGGCCCCCTGTTGAGAATTAAAGTCCCTGGCTGGGAGTGGTGGCTCATGGCTGTAATTCTAGCACTTTGGGAGGTGAAGGCAAGAGGATTTTAAGGAGTTTAAGACCACACTTGGCATCATAGTGAGACTTTGTCTCTACAAAAAATAGAAAAATTAGCCAGGTGTGGTGGTGTGTGCCTGTAGTCCCAGCTACTCAGGAGGCTGAGGCAGAACGATCTCTGAGCCTGGAAGGTCAAGTCTGCAGTGAGCCATGACTGTGCCACTGCAGTCCAGCTTGGGCAACAGAGTGAGACTCCAACTCAAAAAAAAATAGTAAAATAATAATAATAATAATAAATAGAAATCTCAAGTTCCCCACATTCTAAGATCAAAGAAACAGCTCCTCTGTGGTGAGTCAGCCCCTGCTTCATGGTCTGCTGAGAGATGCCTTTTCAACAGAATTAAGAAAAGCTTGTCTTTTGGGGATAGTGCAGCTGATAGAAGGGACCCTACAGAATCACATCCCACTTCAAGTAGGATGTTCTCTAGGCCACCAAGCTAGTTGAATGATCAAGGTGCTTCCAGAGACGGGAGAGGAGCTCTGGGGAGAGATGGTTGGGAGTATAGCCAGTGGGCTACATGATCAAGTTCAGGCCCTGGAAAGGTATGGAAGCTGAATCCTACCCTTGCTGGTGATCCTGAAGTTGAGGCCACAGAGGATCAATAAGATTGAGAGTACAGAACTGCTGAGAGTTATTAAAGAATGGCAAAGAAGGGATGCTGAGAATCAGCCCAAATATGCAGTCTCATCAAAGAATCACAAGAAGACAAGAAGTCTCCCAAGGGCCAGGAGTTGAGTTGGGAGCCCCCACCCTACCACACAAACTAGACCAGCAGTGATGACCCACTGATGGGAAAATTCCCATGGGAAATTGTTTATTTTCCTCTTTCCTCCTTAATCCAAGGCCAGGGAATTAAGTGTGGGATGAGAGGTGTTGAGATCTGAGCAGCCTCCACTTCTCTTTCTATTTCCCTCACTGGGGGAATGGGGAGAGTTTTGAGTCAAATATAAGACTGATGTTTCAAAATGAGCATGACTCAGTTTTAAAAACTGAAATGAGTCTGCTTAACAATATAAAGTAATGGCCAGGCACAATGGCTCGAGCCCATAATCCTAGCACTTTGGGAGGCTGAGGCTAGAGGATTGCCTGAGCCTTGGGGTTCGAGACCAGCCTGGGCAACTTGGTGAGACTTTATCTCTACAATACATTAAAAAAAAAAAACATTAGCTGGGCATGGTAGCGAGCGCCTGATGTTCCGACTTGAAAGGCTGAGGTGGAAGGATCACCTGAGCCCAGCAGGTTAACACTGGGGTGGCCGTGAGTGTGCCACTGCACTCTAGTCTGGGCAACGGAGTGAGACTCCAACTCAAAAAAAAAAAAAAAAAAAAAAAATATATATATATAAAGTAACCCATTTCCTAGGGCTGCTCGACCAAACTACATACTTAGTGGCGTGAAACAACACAAATTTATTACCTTACAGTTCTGGAGTTCAGCAGCCCAACATAAGTCTCACTGGGCTAAAATCACAGCGTCATCAGGGCTGTGTCCCATCTGGAGGCTCTATGGAAGAATCCATTTCCTTAATCTTTTTGGTTTCTAGAGGCCACTCACATTCCTTGGCTCATGGCCCCTTCTTCTTT